GGCTGATGCCGAGTTGACCCTTGCCGCTGTCCTTTCCAGATCGTCCCCTTCTGTGGGCACATCAAAGGAGGAATGAGGCCGGGAAAGAAGATCTTAGTTATGGGCATAGTGGACCTCAACCCCGAGAGGTAACGCCCGGGCAGGGCTGCTGGGCCCGGGGAGGGGGCGAGGGAGGGAGCCCACATTCAGGCACACAAACACACACACATACACACGGATCCCTCCTTTCTGCAAAGGGATTATTTTTATCGCTTTAAATATAGCATGCTGATTTCTCCTTTGACCCATAGAGGGGGCATTTCTTTAGGGATCCTGTTTCCATACATTTCCCTTGGGAGTAAAGGAGCATATAGAGCATATATATGTGCATATATATACACATGTATATGCACAGTGCATATGCACACACATATATATATATGCTATAACCATGTTCTTGTCCCTGCTGAGCTTTTGGAGCATTCCCTGAATGAGCTGCCACCCCATCCTGTGCCACTATACTGGTTTTAGTAAGCTGAGAAATGAGACTGGCGGCATTTGGGGCTTATTTCGCTGCTTCTGGCTGAATGAGAGCTGATCTGTTTGTGTTGCAGCTTTGGCATCAGTCTGACTTGCGGGGAGTCGGAAGATCCTCCTGCGGATGTAGCCATTGAACTGAAAGCTGTGTTTACAGACAGACAGTTTGTCAGAAACTCTTGTGTAGCTGGAGAATGGGGAGAAGAGCAATCATCTATTCCTTACTTTCCTTTTATACCGGACCAGCCTTTTAGGGTGAGTACAGGATGACAGCGGCATGCACCATATCTGATAAAGTGCAATTTGATCAGAGTCGCAGCAGAACCTGACTTGCCTCTGGTGAAATCCCAGTGGAGCTCACACCTTCTTTGGTTGAGACACCAGTTGCAGGGTTGTTTGTCTCGATCAGAAGTTGTGTGGAGGGCCCGCTGCTGTGTGCAGCTCCTGGCGGTTCAGATGGGGCTACGAACACCTCACCGGGGTGCTATGACAAGTCGCAGGTTGTAATTGTGTGTGATGGAGTGCACTTCCTGAGCTTAGTTTTATAGCTGTAAATTAAAAAGTTCCTCTATATTATTAGTACATTACAAGTGCATTCTTATTAGCGGAGAATGTAAATACTCTGTGAGACTGCTGTATGTTTTGATGGTTTTCTTAATGGACAGTGTTTGCAGTTTAGTGCTGCTCATAAGGAGCTCGTTCATCCTTTGTCTCCAGGGGTGTTACGCTGAGGTTGACCGTAGCCCTTCGTGTTAGCAGATTAAACAGCTAAGCAATAGTGGTATTCTTTTCTGAACCCTGGGATTAAATCTCCTGACAAATTTAAGCCTGTAGCCACTTGAAAACAGTGTACATGGAAATGCTGTGGTGCTGTGGATGGACTGGGTTGACCTAGAAGCAGATTCCCATCTGTAGTGTTTATGGTTATGTGAAGATGTCTTTGCAAATCAAGACTAACAAAGTATGCAGCTGCAGAGGGCCACTTCTCTCTCAGCGGCTTCACTACACTCAGAAAAAAGGCTGCATGCCTTTTGCATGCGGCTGACCCAGAAAAACCTTCTTTCTCCTCCCCACCCCTCTTGCAAAACCTCACTGGCCCCTCTGCTAAATGCCAGTGCTCTGACCAGCTGCCAAACCCTCTTAATCCTTCTTGCCCCCAAGATAATCTCCCCCAGCCCCAAAAACTAACCATCTCCCCAAGATGAGAGGGTGCTTATGACTGGTTTTGCTGCAAATTGATTGCGCTCTACTTGCTTCTACAAACTCTCCCATCAGAACTGGCAACACCCATTGGTGCGTGTGGGAAATGCACTTGAAAGAGCTTGGAGGCTTGGTCCTGCTCTGGCTGAGAGGGTTATCCTACCCTGCTGCAGTGGGTGGTGGCTGGGCCCTCAGACAAGCCAAATTACCCAGAGCATGGTTTTTGGGTGTCCCCAAAACTAGTGACAGCTGACATTGGAGGACAGCAATATTGCACCTTGGTATGAAATACTATAGCAAGGGAGTCGTTCTTTTTTATTTCCTCCTTTTTTCCCAACTGCATAAATGGAATTTAGGCTCCCAATTGACTTTGTACCTTTGATGGTTTCCCTCTCAGCGAATAAATGAGACTATTAAGTGTTCTTGCCAATTACTTGTGATCTAGTCCAATTATCGTTCTGGCGTGGCCTAGGGTGATCTGGAAAAACGGATCAGAAGCAGTGTTGAGGCTAACCATATCTTTTACATAACAAGGCCTAAGGCGGGATGTGCCTGCTGCAGTGACACAGGAGATAGGCAGCAGCACAGGCACTTCCCTACTACGTGGTGCGCTACCAGGTCCCCAGGAGTTTAAGCTCTTCTGCTCTGTCTGCTGCCACTTCCCCCAGTGCAACGTGTCCTAAGTCAATTGGGCTTTGGCTCAGTTTGTCACTGGCCCTGTGCCCAATTTTATACGCTGTAATAGCAGCAGAGTCAAGTGCCTGGAAGCAACCCTTCACTCCAAGCTACTGGCCTCTTGAAATGACCAAGGACTTACACGTGGTTTTGCTGCAGATTTTCTTCTTAACCTGTCTGGACCTGGAGGTCTCCCAGGGCCTGTAGAAGTGCACGTTCTGCGCCCTCATATCCCTGCTTCCTGCTCTGCTCCCTGCTGAGGCAGCTTCAGCAAAGCTTAACTACAGGGCACCCTCTCAAGCCACCCCTAACATCAGGAATCTCCCAACCTGTCCAAGCTTGTTCAGCTCCAGGCGTTGTTGCTTTTCCAGAGCATTTCTGCAGGGCTCTAGGGAGGAGGAATGAGCTTGTGTCCTTCCCTGATCCTGTTTGTGCCTCATGTGAACTGTCTAGCTAAATTCAAGCCATCCGTCATCACTGCAGCTCCAATATGGAGTCTAGTCCAACAGGGAGTCTTGAGCTGACTGCAGCCACAACAGTGAAAGCTTTTTAGTTCCACAGCAGCTCTGTGAGTATGTGTTGCAGGGGAGGGCAAAGCTATCCCCATTCTCATGTTCACTCCCTTCTGGTAAATTAACGTAAGCATGGAAAGAATTGCAGAGGGAACTGCCCCCTCATTCTGCAGCAAAAACATTGTGCAGCAAAAACATTCTGCAGCAAAGAATGCAAGATTTGGATTGGAGATGCAATTTCTTTCCCCTGTAATAAGCAGTTTGAGTCTGTTTCTGGCATTATTCTAAGAGGCAAAGCCTCCCTGATGCCAGTGGGACTGGGTTCCATTTAGATTAGACATTAGGAAGAAATTCTTCCCCATGAGGGTGCTGAGGCGCTGGCACAGGTTGCCCAGAGAAGCTGTGGCTGCCCCATCCCTGGCAGTGTTCAAGGCCAGGTTGGACACCGGGGCTTGGAGCAACCTGCTCTAGTGGAAGGTGTCCCTGCCCGTGGCAGGGGGTTGAAACTGGATGAGCTTTAAGGTCCCTTCCCACACACACAGTTCTGTGATTCTATGATTCTGATGTCCCTGTGAAATAATAGCAGATCCATCATAGCATAACTGGTGTCACGGGGACAAACTGGTCTCAGCCCTGGCTGTTACGTGGCACATAGATAGCAAAATGTTTAATTGCACCAACGCTACTTAAAGGCTAACAGAGAGCTCTTTGTCTTCTGTGAAGTAACTTCCCAGTTACACAGTGAACAACATGCTTCATTTTAATTTTCACAGGTTGAGATACTTTGCGAGCATCCCCGTTTTAGAATATTTGTGGATGGACATCAGCTCTTTGATTTTTACCACCGTATTGAAACACTGTCAGCAATTGACACAATAAAGATAAATGGAGATCTTCAGCTTACAAAACTTGGCTGAGCTTGTGAGGACTGCAGATTCCAAACCGGCTCAGGTGCCACCATCCGTTTGGAGAAGCGACAGCCAGCTCTGGACACAGCTATGGTAGGAGGGCTGCCCTGTTCCTTTTCCGCATGCAGTTCTTCACTCCTGTGCCGATGAACCGGGCTGTTGTTTGTCCTAATGAAGAACACTGTTGGTTAATAGACATTGAGCCGTTTTTCTTGGATCAAAATAGCCTACCTATACTGGATAATCAAATTGCAATGGATGCAGAAAGACTTGCACTCTTGTTTCAAATCTCACAGAAAGGCAATTTCTGAAACACAGCGTTAAAACTGGTTACTGAACAGCAGTGACAACAGCAACGACAACAAAAAGCTTTTCTTTTGCAAATATTGTTTCTGCACTGAAGTGGAGTAGTGTAGCACAACATAGGGCCACGTGCTGATGTCCTTACCTGGGGCCTGAGCCTGGTTCCATGGAAATCAATGGCAAAACTCCCACTCACTTTAATGGGGTACAATCAAACTGTCTAGTCCTTAGTCAAGCACAATTCCTGCTGATTTCTATGGGATTTTTGCACATGCCTGGGCACCAGCTCTTCTGCTGGTCCAAATCAGCATCACCTCCATGGCTCGCATGGAGTTTTGCTGATTGCTCCCAGCAGCAGACTTGTCCCAAGGACTGTGCAAAAACTGAATGAGGGTATGAGGACACTGCCTGTGTATTTTAGTCAGGGTATTTGCATAGAATGTAGATCGTTACGAGTTTTTGCACAACGTATTGTTAATACCATTTTTAAAGCTTATCTGTAGTTTATTTATTTATACTCATTGTATGTATTAATAGTAAAAATGAACAACCTTACTGATGGTGAAGAACAGCAAAAGTGTAAACATTTTGAATGTACAAAATGTCTTAGGTTCTTTGGGTAAACTTTACATATCAGTCTTCAAAAATCCTGTTTCCTGTCGAGCATTTAGTTACATTTTAATGGAGCCCTCTAGGCCCTGGGAAAGTGTGGGCATGGTAGTTGGTGGGGGTGGGGGGACCTCTTTGCATATTCACTCAAAACTGCTTTTCAGGGCTTACTAACTTTGCTGCACAGGATAGGTTTGAGTTAAAATCAATCCATTTAAAAAACAAACCAGCAAATTTGTAGGTTGAACCGTGCTTGTGTAACCTGAGAAAAAGTTCAATTTGGCAGCTTCTTGGTTGAGGAGGAGAACCAGCCTCTTTCCAAGGGAGATGGGAGATTTTCTGCACTTGTTTGAGAACATATTCGGCCTTTGATATGACAATTAAAACTTGTCTAGACAGCCAAGTTATTAATGCTTGAAAATCAGCTACTGCACATGAATAATAACTTTTCAAGTAGCTTTTTAAATAGTAGGTATAGCTGTATAAACACAGTCATTGCGCTACACTATGAATGAACACAGCCACTTTTCTTGACTTCTTTAGGACTAAATACACTTTTTTCCTTGGCTGCTCACAACAGACTGTTACTGGTCTTTCTGAGTAGTTATAATCATGATAGAAACATGTATTTAGACAATTTTGAAAACATGTAATATAGGGACTTTCTAAGACACAGAATATAAAAACATCCTTTGTAGCACTGTATTTAAAGAGAAAAAAAAAAAGAAGAATCTCACAAAGAGAATTATGTTAAACCTGCAATAAAGCTGTGGTTTAAAGCAACCCGAACTGGAATACCCAAAGTTAAGGGTAGAATGCCAGTTGCAAAGCCTCATTTTGTGCTAATATGGCCTGCAGTTAAGAAGCCTTAGACTGCAAGCTGAAATTCCAACTGTGGCTCTAGTCCAAAGCCTGTTGAGGTCAATCAGAGTCCTCTGAGCACAGAAGCCTGATTCTTATTTCATGCAAGTGCAAATCTCTTTGCAAAGCCAGGGTGGTGTTTTTGCTGCTGCATTTGAGTTAAGAATCAAGCTGCCACCTATAAAATACAAGTTAAAAATCAAATTTTAGCCTTAACATTGACATTCCCTGACTTTTCCTTCTTTTTTCCAAACTGAGAACCTGTCGTTTTCCAGATGATCTTTTTATCTGGTGTGTGGCTTTTAAGTTGTACATCAGATCCTATTTGTACTCCAGATTGAATATGAAATGTTCCTGTCTTGCTCTGTTTTTACTCTTTTACATGATACATGATGACTCTGTCATTTTTCCATTGTATAAAGAATGCTGACAGTGTTCCAGTACAAGATATATTCTTAAAAATTATGATAATGATGATAATAAAAATCCAAGGGAAAGGTGCTTCTACATGAGGTGTTTGGATTTGTCTCCAGCTTGGAAATGCTCTATGGTTCCAAAGCAGATGCAGGCAGAAGATGAATTCTGTTTGGAGAGATATTTAGCACTCTCCCTGCATAGTGTTTGCTCCAACTACAGATGTAAAGCCAGGTTTGCTGATGTAGTGCCATTGCCTGAGGCTGTCTTCCTAGGCCAGTGGGCCAAAAGTAGGAGGCTGGAGGGAGTAAGTAGCACCATGACCCTACAGGAGCACAAAACCAAACAGGATCTATCTCCCTGACAGCACACCAGTAGAGATATCCCCTCCATGCCTTTACTATACCCCAGAAAAAGCAATTTGGCTGACCTCAGTTTTCAGCTACTTGGGATTCCTGTTAGGTTAGCACAGCCTTCAGACTTCTGCTATCATTGCATGGGCTCAGCACAGCACAGTGCCTTCACCAGGGATGCTGAGATGAACTCAATGCACCACTGCCCGTGGTGTCTCTGTCAGGAGCAGTCGCCCAGGAACACTGCCTGGCCTCTGTTCCCACCCACTGCACCACGCACTCCCATTTGTTCCTGCTCCAGTACATTTCTGTCTCGGGAAAATGCTTTTTTGAACCCAATTCTGGTTTTGTCTTTACATAACTCTGCAGCACCCACCGCCTGATTCTGCCCTGTTGTGGTTTCTGAGCCAGGCTTTGAGGCAAGGAGGACTGTGAACCCTCTTCTGAGAGGTTGTGGTTTGGCTGAGAGCTCAGGAAAGGGCAGAAAGTCACAGTTAAAGATTCCACATCTATTTGTCTGTCTAATACCAGTTTGGAAGCCTTTTTACTTTTCTTTTGCTCTTGGGCAGTATCAGGCTATAGCAAGTGAAAGAAGGGTAATGTCTATGTAACCAAAGGCTGTCACATGCATGCTTGGCTTACACTGGCTGGTTGTGTTCAGAAGCAACTGCTGAACAGGTCCATGTGCAATGTTAACACAGACGAAATCTTGGCCTTAAACGCTTCTGTTCAGTTGGACCTTGAGCCAAATCCAAATGTTAATCCTTCCCTGTGAGGGTGCTGAGGCGCTGGCACAGGTTGCCCAGAGGAGCTGTGGCTGCCCCATCCCTGGCAGTGTTCAAGGCCAGGTTGGACACAGGGGCTTGGGGCACCCTGCTCGACGGGAAGGCACCCCTGCCTGTGGCAGGGGGTTAGAACTGGATGAGCTTTAAGGTCCCTTCCAACCCAAACCATTCTGTGATTTTATGTTTAAGATGGGAGATTATTCAGATCTTCATTGTGGATATAAACCCTACTAGACCTGAAATAAGACTATTTTCAAATTGGGCCAGGTTTTCAAAATGTTTTCCAGTAGGGACAAGTAGTCTGAGAGCTTCTTGCAAGCTGCAATTCTTCAGAACTAAGTGAGTGTGTGAACCAACTTCTGAAATCTTAGGTTAGAAGTTATTAGCTGTATATTTCCATGGTTTCCTCTGAATGAGGAAAACTCATTATGAAATGAAAAAAGCCTTGAATGGGTAAAATCCATGTGGAGTGGAATCACCCAACTTGGCAAAGCTTTATTTTTTTCCAAAGAGGAAAAAGCAACAACCAAAAAACCCTGACCAAATTCTTTAGCTGTGTTTGGAATGGGCTGTGATAAAGCTGATTTAATTAAAAATAAAAAGGGGGGGTGAGTTATTGCCTACTCAGAAAGAACCTTGAAATACTTCAGTGTCATGTGAGGTAGTCTGTGTCTAAACATACTTCACAGAACCACTTTTTCACAGCCAAGTTGTTAAAAATGTTACAAAATACCTTCTTTTGGTGTCACAATTAGAAATGGTTGCCCCACCTTGAAAGAACATTTTGTGCTAAATATTCATATGTTGTCTATGTGAACTTGCACTAACATACATTATATTCTTCCTCCCCTCCTTGACTAGCTTGAGAAGAAATAGGCGTAATATTGCTAAACCGGTTGAATGTGACATCTGCTTGAGGCATAGCATCTTTCTCAAGGGCTGTTTTGAGTAAACAGCCTGAAAACCAAAGGGAGAGCCTGATTCACCATTCTGCTGTGCCAGCTTTCCGCCCCTGTCACTCTCCTGCTGTGAGGCTGAAACCGAAGCCCTGAGATTTTAATGTGACGGAGCAGCACTGAGATTTTTATCTTCTGGGATTTAGAACTATTCACTGTGGAGGAAACACGAATAGAGTAGCCACGGCACTCCCAAGCTTGGTAGTAGGGCTGGGTTGCATGATGTGCTGTAGTCCTAAGGGAGTATGAGTTCAGAGGGAGGTAGCAGGCATTTCAGAGCCAGCCAAGAACACAGGCTGTGGAGCTGCATGACAGTTTCCCAGGGATGGGCATTTGCCATCTTCTGCAACCTCGTAAGAGGACACACAGCAAAAAAACAGTGTTGCTTACAAGTTTGGAAGGCATGAATAAGTTCATGTTCCTACTCGCCTTCTTTAAAAGAGGCTCCCAAGTAAGTAATAGGAAAATTTACGAGTAGCCATACTACTAAGGTATTTTTTTCCCCACAGCATATCTGATGTGAGGCTCATCTTGCTTCCCATCCTCGAGAAGTGTTCCCCACAGAAATCTACAGCTCTGCTTTCTGCACTAAGGCTGCTTACAGTGACTTTTCCCTGCAGGAAACTGCAGAACCACAGTTAGTGGTGGCTCTAAGCAACCTCCCAGCACCCCTGGAATTGCTACGAGTCTGAGGAACAAGAGTCAGGCTGAGGGCAGCCCTAAATGCTCACTGTGATAAGCACAGAAGTTAGGAAGAAAAGCTACACCAGCCCAGATACAGTTAGTGATCCAGCAAGATTTTTTGTAATCGTGAGTATTGTTCTGATTTTCTCACATGGATCAGAAAGCTTTGAGGTAAAAGTCACTGTGCAATGAGTGGTGTGTGGGGTTAGAACCAAGGCCAACCCAAACGGGGAGAAAAAATGAGCTGCAGACGCTTTATCTGGCTTTGATACACCCTCCCAGCTCCTCCCAGCAATCACTGCTGTTATGAATGTACACAATTACTACAACAAGGAGATTTCAGCAGCATGTGCAAGATCAAAATAATAAACTCCTGCTTTGCCACAGGTCCTCCCTAGCTTCTGTTGCATGGCCTCTCCATCTGTCTGTCAACAAAGAGCTACATCCTGCTGCTTTTAAAATCCATGGCAAAAATCCCTTTGACTTTCCTGGAAATAGGTCCATAAGAAAAGGGTTATTTCTAGCTCTCCCTCTCCAGTTATTTTCAGCTGGGGCATACTCTAAAACTGAGAATATTTTTAAGTATGAACAGAGGACTATTTCTGCCTGCATTATCCATTTGATAGAGCCAACAGAAAGCACAGCAGTTCCGCAGTTAGCTGATGAAATGTCTTACATTCATCACCTTCCGATTTTAAAAAGTGGGGATGTGCACAAAACGACTGGGCAATAACAGTAATGTGTATCACTCACCACAGATCTATTCTTATGTGTTGTGCCAATTTCATAATGAAATTTTAATAACAATAAACTGTGAAATCTTCACCAGGTTGTTCTGTCTTTTATCTGAATTATTAATGCTCGTTACACACCCTCTTGACTGCTTTAACTTCTGGCTTCTTTTATCTCCTGACTGTTTTTCAGATGTAGCTCACTCTTTCTCCCCTACAAATGTAG